TCGGATCTCATCTTCAGTGATAATCAGTCAGTGGTAACACACACGCCTTCCATGCAATGGGTTCGAGGTTAAAATCCTGGATAGGGCATTGGGTATGCACTACTGATTAGCTTTAATGCGCGAGTCAAACTCGAACCTAGTGCTTCTGAGTGTTCGATTGAATCAATGAATTGAGGATTTGATGCGTGAAGGTAAAATCTCAAAGGATAGTTAATTCCAATCAGTGTAAATAAACAAATACTATGATTGAGATATCTGTATTTACATCTCAAACAGATTTGACACTGAAATTCACATCTGTTCAGAAGGTTATTCGCTCCCACATACCTTTCTCTACTGTGAACAGTTTAGATTTTCCCTCATCTCACACACACACACACACACACACACTCTCATATTGCAATCAGGTATCGGTTGGGAGTTCGTTTGCGTTTCTTTCCACTCCCCCTCCCCCTATTCAACCTTAGGTGATTTGTATTCTCAATAAGCACTCCTTCTGAATGCCACAACTTGCAGTCACAAGCCTGTCGTCAGACAGTATCCTCCTTATCATTTTATTTTTAGCTTCATTTCTAGTTTTTCTCGTCTATGCCCGAAAGCTCAGCCTTCGAAATCCTCAGTATGGTCACGAAATGTTTCCATACGATCAAGCGTCTCGAATAGCCTCTGCTGAGGAACCTCTACTCACTGCCTTCTCGTGGCGGAGGTGTTTTCTCACACCAAAGTGAGAGGACGAAAAGCCGACATCCGGGGCTATGAACGGGTTGATGGATCACTGGCAGTTCACCTAAGAAAGTTGGCCAAAAACCCTGATTCCAAACCAACCATGAGGAATTGTACAAACCACATACACATACACACACACACACCTTTCCGGTTGTGGCAATGGCAACCGGTTCGATTGGGCACCTTGGACGTTTGACCCCGTCCAACGGGTGTATGATCCGATTAACTGGACACCGGCCAACAACGGATTGCGGTTTTCACACACCGCCCAGTGCCTAGCGGGTCAGGCTTTGGTTGGCCAAAGGCTCCGGTTATGGACTCCTCAAGAAAATGCACCTGAATTGGCAGTATTCAGCCCACATGTAAATCATGGAACTTTTTGCTCTTTTGTAAGGATTATTGCACCATGATTTTTTCAGCACACAGTATCGCTTCAGACGAGTGTAAAATATAATAATATATAATCAGAAAGTTCAGAAAGCTGAGCAACATATTTGAGTGCCTGTTTCCCGATCCGGTATGGTTAGCTTTGAGTCTTTCCTTTCCACAGAAACCACTACTACTACTTGGAGTAGTGGAAAATTGGCAACCAAATAATCAGTACTGCACTCGTAACTGTCTAATGAGATGCAGAAAAAAGAGACAAGTTTATAGGATCAAGTCAAACGGATTGAATAATTTTGTACACTAAAAGGTTACTGGTTCAGACCGTGTCACCATATCAGCGTTTTGATGTTTTTCCAGTCACATAGTAGTATTCGTGAATGAGAATTTGACCGATCCAAAATACTGACTTCTTGATGATCTTCGTGAAACGGTCATACGCAGTTCCCAGACCGGTGTTATCTCGGAACATTGGATCGTCACAGCTTTCATCCGTTCCAAGAACCTCTCCTATCTGAAATGTTTTCCTGCTGGATTTTCGCAGTACCAGAGAGGCATTCTCTTCTGGTGATATTGGAAATTTGATTGGCAACTTCAATACCTTGGACCGTTCAAGGGCCGACGCCGAGTCTTCGTGTCACTTGTCCGTGGAATCCACATGCATGCCAGCGGACTGTTTGAAATGGATTTGTTCTGCATCGCACCGATCAAATAGCGTATCCGTCAGGTCTGTTCTCTTCACTTTAGCCCCGTTTCAATCAGCTGCAAATGGTTTCATAAACACCTGTGCTTTATTTGTCGATCCGGCTTTGTACGCTGCGCTACTAAAAGACATGCAAGTCTCCAGTTCCTGAACTAGAGACTTCTGATTTCCCCATCCAACCCCACACTCAATTACCTATCCAGGAGCACGGTACGTGTTGTTGTTATATAAATCCAAAAGGCTAAAAGTGAGCCGAGTTCGGCGAAAGACCGAAATTGCATGGACCAACGTTTTTTGACAACGACCCCGATTGTGCAACGCGGTGGAGTCGGCGAAGGACAGAGAGGGGTTTAGTTGTGAGGTTTAGGATCAGTTTGTACAATCATTGATTGTGCACTTTTATGCTCCGATTCTGGTTGTTGAATGTGTTGTACTGATCATTTGGTTATCCGATAAAAAACGAATAAAGCAGACAACACATGACTAAACAAGTGTGTTGTATCCCGTAGAAGCAAATAAACACGCAACCGGTGAATTAAATAGTTATTCTGTTCCCAATATATATGAATGTAAACGTAGTTGGCCGGTAGACCGATGAGCAAGCAGTGCGTCAACACGCGGGTCGGCAGGCCCAACCGGCACAAGCGTTACTAAAAGGAGACCGTCATCATGCTGGACAGTCACCGAACCAATCAATGCATACAGGTCGATGTTGACTTCTGATTCGCGGAGGCCGATCGACCGTGCAACGGAGTAAATTCGCATGATGTGCGTGCGTACGTGCGTGTGATGGCAGGCCGCAACGGTCAATCACATGATGTGGGGTAAACATTTGACTCAGTTGCAGGTCACAACACTCGCCACCTAAATTTTCCCTGTCAGAAGGGATACACACCGTGTGCCAGACAGGTGCAGTACTGTTAACCTGAAAAAGTAATGACGATAAAAGAAAGCTGACTCAAAGCGGCTGGGTTTGAACGAGGAATGTAATCCCAATAGTAAAAACACCATGGAAATTCACACTGAAATTGGGCCTCAAAAGTACTCTCGAAATAGAATTTAAAAAACAAACAAACAAAAGAAACATATCTGGGAAAGCGAATACAATAAAGTGGAAAGCGATTGCCAATGGATTACTTTCTGGCAAAATAAATCGCAAACAGATATTTGTTTTACGTTCTGTTTCAAGTGCCATGGTCACCAACTATTTCATCAGAGAGGTTTGGAAGATAGGCGGAGGCCCAAAACTCATCTTTTTGTTTTAGCCGTGTTTTATGCTGTTATCTGAACGTCCCCCGTACGAAAAACACCCCACATTGAAGCGAAAATACCTGGTCGCAGCCACAAGGAGCGAGCACTAGATCATTCAGCTAGGATGTGATAGACTCGATAGCATCCTGGTGCGATTCATTACTGTCGTTCCAAACACATCAACCCAACTCACGCTTTCGTTTGACCTGCGTTTGCTTCCCCAGACTGTTGCGGAGTACGTCTTCGATCGTTAATATCCCCACTGGGCAAAAACCCTCTCGGTTTGATTGATCGTCCCAAAGTTTGTGAGGTGGCAAATTTCTCATTTTCCGGGTACTGATATCCGGCAGTGGTGCCCACAGTTGCAGCCAATCGTGTGTGTGTTTGTGTATGTATTGCTTTGGTCACCTGACTTGCGGTCCCCGAGTATTCGGACTGTCCACTGGTGATGGAGTATGGGGCACCGATCACGCACAAATACAAACAGGTGGAGAGTGTGCTCGCGATCAGAATCCCACCGGTTACACAGGCAATACGACCACTGATTCGGAGAACAGTTGCATGAACACTGTGCGTATAGGGGGTCGGAGAAAAACAACAACAAGTAAGGTACTATCGTTTTCAGCATATTGTTACTTACATTAATGTAGCTAGGTGGGTGCTCCGCCAGATGAACCGGTGTCATAGTAGGGATTGGAGACAAGGTGACACTGATAACCTGGATCCGACAAGGAGTAAAGCATTATCCTGGACATGGTCAAACCATTGTATTCGTCCTCATTGTAGAATCTAGAAGCCAGTAAATGTCAGAGCACTTAATTCTTAGACAGCAGCTGTCTTAGTTTATCAATCCACTACGAGTAATCCATTGACCAGATGTCACTAGCTTCTCCACGTTCAATCTGAAAACTGCGCTCATTGAAAGCTCATGTCATTATTCTGAAGCTGTAAAAATACATATTTTTAGAGTATCGCGTGCGGATTAGCCCGTTCGGTTGTTCATAGGCATCAGGCGCGGTTGATGATTTTGGGTTTGCGTTTCATTCCTTGGGAAGGCGTTAATTCCCCATCAGTTAAATGCGATTGAAATCATCAAATCATCCTTGATTTTACGGAAAATTCACCGCTTCACCGCTTCTAAAGTAAAATATATCGGCATTTATATCCAAACATGATACTCTAAATTGATCGAGCCATTCGCTCAAGGTGTTGACTTTTGGTCTCACAGCCTGTGGTTAAGGGTCTGGATCTCCAACTTCAAGGTTCGCGCAAAATACGCGCTGTCAACGAGTCTCTTACAGGGTGACACAGCTGTCTAGTTGTGATGAGTCAACCCACCCAGACGACGCCAGGCAAGAGTCTACGCGCTCTAGTTTGTGGACATTGAACCATGGACCAGCGATATCGATCACTCAACAGCCAAGCAATTCAAACAAAAGCCACTTGACTCGGAGAACAAGAAAGGCGATTGGTTGATACCCACTTAGCCAGTAATATTTCTATTTCTGCATCTTGGTGACGGGTGATCTCAGCTAACAAGTACTAGTGTGATTTTAGTGTTTCAGTTGCATCCCTGATTCGTGATTCGCAATTCGTACCAGTGTTCCTGTTTGCCAGTCACCACTGAACTAAGCGGAAAACATAAATTCTGTTGCCACTGTTCAGCTGACTTGTGGACAACGCTTCTTGACCACGATTTTTTGTGAGAAATGGCAGTTTCGATCAAACTAATTTAGTAAGTAAAACTCAATTTGTTTTCAGTTGTAGTCAGGCGAAGACATAAACCCTGGAGGCTTGTCAGAAGATAAGCAAGGACAGTCGTTCGTGAGACGCTTGTAAAGATGGATTTTGGTGTATCATGTATGGATATGGATACGACGAAACGGGGTGACTAACTGGCTAACGAACAATCAATCAAACAGGATAGATTGTCGGCGTTTGAACACCGGCATTGCACGAATCTGGTGGTTTAATCGGATGAGCAATGCTGAGGTTAGGCGTTAGGAGTCATAGGTAATCGCAGTCACCCACTGGAGCAAATGGTCGACATCCATAGATTACGTTGGTTGGAGCATGTATTACGCATATCATTAAATAGGTTGCCACAGCGAACGATGTTCGTCGTGGCAGGTAGTGGTTGGAAGAATAGCCAAGGGTGGTCAAGCGAAG